TAGCCAAAGGGATGCAGAGGACACTCGCACCGACCTTGCGGACATTGAGTCGCTTGGAGGGGTGCCAAGAGTATGAGGCGATCCGGCTAGGACCTTCAGTCTAGGTCATCAGAAAAGTGACCGACGTCTGATGTTGCCTATGAAATAATTAGGCAAGCTGACTGAGTGAAAGCTCTGATCGATTTAATTTGGCTAACTTAATTTTTGGGCGCAACATTGTTTGCGCCTATTTTATTTGCTTGCTTGCGGTTCTATCTTTCCATCAGGTGCCCAAATTACATCGTTGACACCTATGTTAGCGTGCGACCCTGTGACCCATACATCACCCCTCACAGCGCAGTGCATCGGTTCCTCCCTTAATCTTCTAGGCGTTTCGTACTGTACGTCGTAATGCAAGTTCCCGTCCCTTACCATGACTCCAAACCGATATCGCTGCTGCAAGGATGTCGAAAGTTTGGACGCAGACGTATGCGCGCCTTTAAGTCTGTTCGGAGCATGAAATAAGTCTGGCGGATAAATTCTCCCTTGGCGATCTCGAAAGAATTCGTCCGTGTGCTGCAGCCCTTTGAAGGCTCTAGCTGGAAGTTGGTTTCGCGTAAATCTTGTTGGCAATAGTTTGCTTCCCAGCTCCCAGAAACCAGATGCCTCTTCCGACAACCGACGATAGACACTTCCAATAGTACAGTGCCTATCAGGATAGTAGAAATTATGTGCGGGAAGCGTGTAAGCACTAATTCTCTTGTTAGTAATCTCAGGTATTAAGCCGTTAGTTGCTTTCAAGGCGTGTTCCAAGGTTTGGCGAACAATTCTTTCCACGATCGGCTTATCGTGTCGCCATCCTATGACGTTGCTAAAGCGAGTTAGATCGCTTTCTTGAGAATTTAGGGGAGTTAGGAAGCAGACAGGAGCTAGCGCAGAAATAAGAGATTCTTTGTCACGGGATGGTACATAAAGGACCATTATGCGACGAGGTGACAGTGACTGGCCTTCGCGTTCAATAAGTTCTAATGTCTCCGCAATGGTCTTTTCCCTGTAGAGATTTCCCCAGTCATTTGGTGGCGAAGGTGCGCCCACATGTAGTGCAGACCTCTGTGCAGTATCTCTCAATAGCCTGGCCTTGATCCACTCCAATGATACCTGTGGCAATCCCGCAATTACGACCAGATCCATACCTTGTCTTGCACCAACAGGTGTTCGCTTCTTTTTCTTCCCTTTTTTCCTCCAATTAGGCATGATGATCTAGGGTAGGCCCATAAGTGCGTTGGCAATATCACCCGGAATTCGAATCCTCCTCCTGATTTCCGGCTCCTGAGCATCAATCAGTCTCTGAAGTGCATTGTCCTTCACCTCAAAAGGCGTTGCTGTATTGCTTGCAGGTTTTGATCCTCGATCATAGTAGATTGCTCGCAGGTCAACTGATTTTTCGTCAGCCCACTTCTTGATGTGCGTATAAATCATCTGCCTGTCGCTGTAAGAAATTTCGCGCACACAAGTCTCACCCAGCACGAGAGCGAGAGCGACGAACTAGCTCTCAATCTCAATGAAAGTGTCATCTTCTGGTGGCTGCGCCCGAGTTTCGTAGCGAAATGGTCTAGCGGTCCGAAAATACAGACGAGTTCCGGGCAGCGGATTCTTGCAGAAAGCAGCGACCAAGGCGAACGGTAGGCGCACGTAATCAATATTCGAATCACCAGAATTGTCACGCGCGTCCAAGTATTGTCCTGACAGTTGGCGTTGCACATTCGTGGCCTTCTCAGGTGGTGCAATCGCTATTTTGGCAGGGGATTCCTCATCTTGGACTACGACCAAGCGTCCGGCGTAACGACTCTTCAAGTAGTCCTTGAATCGAACTCCGCTAGGAATCTCAATGTTCTCCGAACGGAAAAGCAGGCCAAGCTCAGCCAGATAGTATGGAACATCATTATTTTCATAGTGTTTCTCAACAGCCTCTATAACCAATTCATCGGTATCTCTCAAAGACAAATGTCCACCTCCAAGCATCTAAGAGGGCACTAGGGGTTTCGTGCGAATAATATTACATTAAACTCCATCCTCCTCATCTTACGCTTTCAACTAGATTAACCCATCTCGCAGGATACTCGCGCGATGACCAGCGCTGTATTCCGAAGTATCTCCGTTACCTTCGCGTCCCGGTAGTACCGCTCCGCAGGCGTCGGCGCTAGATACCCAGACCCGCCGTGCATCTGCACCGACTTGTCGGCAGCCTCCACCGCAACCCGAGACGCGAACAACTTCGCCATTGACGCCTCCTTGACGAACGGCATCCCAGCGTCGCGCATCGACGCAACCCGCATCACTAGCAGCCGCGCCGCGTCAATCTGCGTCGCCATATCCGCGATCATCCATTGAATCGCCTGCAACTCCGCCAGCTTCTGCCCGAAAGGCTCGCGCTGCTTCACATGGCTCACAGCAGCCTCATAAGCAGCCTGCGCTATCCCAACGCACTGCGCCGCAATGGATATGCGGCTCGAGTTCAGCACCTGCATAGTCTCGCGGAAGCCCTCGCCCTCTGCGCCCATTCGATTCTCCTCCGACACCGCGCAATCCTCGAACACCACTTCCGCGATGGATGACGCCCGCATGCCCATCTTGCCCTTCAGCGGATTCACGCTCAGGCCCTCGCTGTCCCCTTCCATAATCAGCGCGTCGATCCCCCGTGTTTTCAGGTTTCGGTCATGCGTTGCAAGCACCACGAACACTGACGCCTCCGGAGCATTTGTGATAAAAGTCTTGCTCCCATTCAGCAGGTAGCTCCCGTTCGAGCGCGTCGCCGTAGTCCGCATCGCGCCCGCATCGCTGCCCGAACCCGGCTCAGTCAGCGCGAATGCACCGATATGCTCCCCGTTCGCAAGTGTAGGCAAAAACTGTCGTTTCTGTCCCTCCGTGCCCCACATGTGAATGAACTGCGCGCATAGCGACAGGTGCGCGATATACGATGTGCTTGTAGCCGCGCACGCACGCGCAATCTCCTCCACCGCCACCGCAAGCTGCCGAAATGTGCCGCCGCTGCCCCCATACTCCTCGTCGATCGTCAGCCCCAGCAGCCCCAGGTCCGACATCCCCTTGAAGTTGTCGAACGGAAACTCCCCGCTCTCGTCATATCCCGCCGCCCGTGGCGCGATCTCGCTATCCGCAAAATCCTGCACCGTGTTTTTCAGGAGCAGCTCATCTTCACTCAAAAAGTAGCCGGACATTCTAACACCTCGATAATTCTTATCCTGTCTATCATCCTGTGCATCGATGTAAATTTATTCCTCTATTGACATCCATCGCCGCCCGTACCGCGCCCATCGTATCCCCCAGCGACAACACATCACACTGCGTTCCAACGTCGCCCTTATATCCTCCGAACACAGCATGCCCCGCTTGCAGCCAGAAGCAGTCCACACCGTCGAATCCCGCCTCGACAAGCCAAGCGAGTTGCTGCGAGAGTGGCGAATGCGTCTCCGCATCATCCGGATAGCGATAGTAATTCCATTTCTCTTCAACCAGTCGAGCGTACAGCACATCGCCATCCGTCCGCTCGACCGACTGTTGCCGGCAGATATCGTCGTATGCGTCCGCGTACAGCCGCCATGCCTCTGCACGCTGCGGCAGTACAACATCCACCACCATCATTACAGCACGCTCTTCCAGCCTGCGATACGCCTCTGCGAACAGATCACGCTTCCCCTCAGCAGTCAGATGATGCAGCGCAAGCGAGGACACCAAACAGTCCGCGCCGTCCAACGCATCCAGCCACTCCACACCCTCAAGCTCAAACGCCATTACCTCCGCTCGCTCTTCGAACGGCTCCAATAGCGCCTCCGCCTGCTCTCGCATCGAAGCCGACCCGTCCAACCCCAGCACAGACGCCATCGGATACGCCGTCAGAGCGGCACGAGCGAACACGCCCTCACCACAGCCCACATCGGGTATCCTGAACGCCTCATCCCTGCCAAACGGCAAAAGGCAAAGCATCGTTGCCAACTGCGACTCCCTCCCTGGCACCGCAACCTCAGCCAGCGCCCGATACACCGCCGAATCTTCCTCACGCCAACTCCACATCCCATCCCCTACGTCCTGTGCATCCATGTTAGCCCCCGCTCCTGAGCCGCACCGACAGCACCGGCGGAATATCCTTGTACATTAGCCACCCAAAGCTGTCGTCGCCCGGCACATCCGCAGGAAACACCGGCTCCTCCAGCGCGTCAACAACAAACCCAACCTTGAAGAAGACACCCAGCAGCGCACTCAACGGCCTGTGAAAATAGTTCTGCGCCACCGGCTGCCCGTTCATCGCCTGTCCCTTGTGCGCGTGCGACTCGAGTGTACCGCGTAACCCGCACCGACAGCCGCTCGATGATCTCGCCTTCCTGCTCCTCTCGCTCGAAAATCTGCGTGAAGCCTTCGGTCGAGTTGAAGCACGGATGCATAACCGAGAACACGACCCGCCCCGTCGGTTTCAGCAGACGTCTCACCATTCTCGCAACAGGCGAAATGCTCGCCATGTCCATCAGCACCATCGTGCTAACTGCTGCGTCAAAGCTGGACTCGCCCAACTTCAGCATCGCCTCCTCATCGCTTGCATTCACCACCTCATAGCGTACGCGCCCTTCACATTTCGCATCGGGTGGCGTCCGCCTTCGCGCGTTCTCTATCATGCGCGGCGCGGCATCAACAGCCACCACGTCAGCACCCAATGACCCCATCTTACGCGCAAACTGCCCGTTGCCGCACCCAATATCCAACACCCGTTCGCCCGGCATCAGCGACAAAAAGTCTAATTGCGTAGGCTCAATAAGCAACTTATGAAAAGCGTTGCCCTCGCCCATCCGCTGATCCCAGAAATCGGCGTTCCGGTCCCATATC